TTTGACTGATAGTATACAGTCAGGGTGAAGAAAATGAGCATGAGCCTGGCTGATTCTAGAGCTAGGATTGAATTAGCCTCTAGCCTAGCTGAAAGGTACCTGATCTGATGTTGTATTGTAGTTCTTGTTCCAGGCCTTAAAATCACAAGTAGATGTCGATCTATGCGATACTGTATTTCTTAATTTCGGTCATACACTACCTCTCCCCTTGTTTCAATAATTGGCATGATAACATTATCAGACCATCTTTTTAATCAAATAATAAGTTAATATGCATTTATCTTGTTTTTTTTTTTTTTTTTTTTTTTTTTTTGTTTCTGAAGTAGGAATATCAGTGACACAGACAGAGCAATGAGAAAAGATTACAAAACTTGATATTACTGCGTTGTATATGTCTAATAATTGTATGAAATTTTACTTACTACAGAAATGATCAGCTCAGTGAGCCTTCATACCAATCAGGGATACTGTGATGGCCCGGTATGCCGTGGCCAGCTAACAAAATAAATTTGTCAACCTTGCAGATACAGCGATTTTTTCAGGTCTTGTGATAGCTAGTTTGGTGCTCGGTCGGGCTGCGGGGTTTGTATTACTGATCTTGATTATATTTATTCTCTTAGATTAAATCAGGGCTTTTTTTAGCATTGTTATTGGCGGGGAGGACTTCCGCTCCTATTAAAATACTCATTGGACTTGACTCATGAACCTCAGCGCCTTCTAAAGACTACGATTAGTCAGCTTTATATTATTATTCTAATATTATGATGAAGATTTGTATTTTTCCCCTCCCAATCCAACCCCCACTCTCCGCGGGCCAATGAGTATTAATCACTCAACTTCATGTTGTAGGAGGCTGCTGGTACTTCAAACTCTTGTTATATAACTGTATATCTCTGGATTTCGCCTAGATTAGAAGACAGGTACGGGATCTATATCATGCTGACCACTACACGACGCGCACCCGGTATTTGGAAGTGTGGAGATAGGTCTGATTTTGAACAAAAAGTATTTGGAGCATATGACTAGGTCCAACTAATAGAAGCTTGGAAGTATATATCTTATATTCTGATATCTTATAAATGACTGCTCTTGTTCACCCTGCCTATCCTCTAAGTGCAATCTCTAGTTTCTTTTCTATTAGACTTTGTGGACTCTACTATACTTCGTGAACCGCTCAAAATGCGGGTTCAAACAGTCATTGCCTCTGTCTTCCTCGGCGTCGGCATAGCCACAGCGGCAGAAACTTGTGATAACAGCTATTCTGAAAAGGACTGTAACTGGGAAGGCACTGCTCCGTTCTGTGGTGCAAGCGATCATCCTGTTGGCTATACAGATAATGGATGGACACTTGTGGCAACAACTAAGTACGAAGACCATCTGGCTCTCGAGCTCACAGGCAAGATTAGCCTGGAATGTTATGAAATCTATGGATCCGGCTGCGTGACTGGTTGGAAAAACTTGTGGTGCCCGCGTATGAGTTTCTGATATCCTCTAAACCTCATGTTCTATTAACTAATATCCTACAGCCAGCTAGGATGAAGGGCTTGGAGGTTATATATTGATTGGTAATTTGTGATTTGGGCGGCTTGCATTACTCTATTTCTTGGGTTGGATAGGAAACAGTGAATACCAAGTTGCTTTATTTAATAGGGTCTTCAACTTGACACCAAGCATATGCTGAGATTGCCTACATTTACAATCAATCACCGAAACATGATTTTAGCAACGTGATGCTATGAGTCTTATCCATCTTTACCTGCCTCGGAGGATTCTGATATAGTTGTAAAATCTTAGTTTAGGCCATTTCAAGTTTGGTGAAACTCGGCCGAAGATCGCCAGTCTCCGCATACACGTAAATAAATTTTCCTTTTCTTTTTTCGGGGTGCTTGACAAAGTCTGACTTCCTACACGATCACGTTGGATCGTAACGTCTGATTATTCGGGCTGGGTGGTGCTCGTGAGGTTAGCTCCTTCACGCCAGATTTGACAGAGCTGGTCAAGTAGCCCAGTCTTTCTTGTATAGAACTCTGATTCTTTTAGTAATTTCTACAGCAGACGTTACAAGCAGCTACTAGTACTGGAGTGCCCTTTGACTTCCTTTCCCTTTTTCTAAGTTTCGCCAATGGGTGAGGGTACAGAAAAGTTACGCTTATCAGAACAACAGACATGCCGTGCTCAGCCATACATGGTGTGATGGCGAGCGACGTCACTGAGGCACGTGACATAGTTTTGCTTACTTTGTTTGTTCTGTTTGTTTCTCTTCGCTCGCTTACCTTTGTTGCTCGCACGCGTTCCCCCACACTCCTTCCTTTCCCCTCTCATGTTCGATATTCTAGTTTAGACGCACCGAATAGGATACGTTTGATTGGCTCTCACACCCCAGTACAAGACTACGCGGCCATTTATAACACTTTCCTTGTCAACTACTTGCAGCCAACGCATTCTCAATGAGTCCAATCCAGATCAAGACTACAACGACCAAGGATATAACAAGCCCTCGAAAATGTGGCTTGCGGTTCGCCGCGTTCTTTGGGCCAGTAAACGCATGGAAACAGTTATTAAACATGGTTTCTGATATAACATTTGAGCATTTATGCTGTTGAGCCCAGGAATAGGCTTGTACGCTCAAGGTGATACCGAAACTGGATCACCAACACTGACTAAATAGTCCATCAATCATACCTCATCAGATATGACTTACAAGACCTTGGGGCCAACCAACAACCTGGTTGGTATTCTGAGCTAGGTTAGATCAAGCAGGCTACCATTAAATGAATATATTTTCAAATCGCTCTGGCTCAAAGGTGTTTGAATGTTCTTACTAATCAGGAAGAGGGATCTCATTCTTTATAAAATGATCGATTGGCTTGCCCTCGATGAAAGCTGTCAAGCAAGTCCCTACAACCAAGGATCTTTAAGCCAGTAGGGTATCGCTAACGCGCAGTTTCAGATGGAACTGTAACATGCGTACCAGCAGGTCAACGCCCAGCAGTCCAGAGATGGTGTGAGATGTTGCAGATTTTGTAGTGAGCAAGGCAGAAAGTCATTTTCGAGATCGGGATAAATGATTGACCCGCGGCCAGGAGAGCTCGGTTGGCGGGTCCTTGATGTGGAAGATCTTTAAAAGTTGATCTTTGTCTTCGCTCCAGCAAATATAGAAGTACCCATATACACCTCAGCCAAGATACATCCGACGGACCAAATGTCCACGCTGGTGTGGTAGGTGTGACTTCCAAGCAGCAGTTCGGAGGGACGGTACCAAAGAGTGACCACATCATTCGAGAACTGGCTGACAGGGATACCGTATGCGCAATTCAGTCCAAAATCGGCAACCTTCAGCTGCCCATATCGATCAAGTAGCAGGTTCTCTGGCTTCAGATCTCGATGCAGAATTCCTGTTTTCATGACAGAAAGAAAGCCCCCACAGCAATTGAAGAAAGAAGTACTTGGCAGTAACAGCATCAAGCGGGCTGCCTTGGATATTTATGTTCCGCTCGAGATTCTGATCCGTATACTCGAAAATCAGCACAAGTCTGTGTTGAGCATCCACCACGTCTTGCAAGGCCAGGATCTTCTCGTGTGTGAGACGTCTTACCAATGCAACTCCCCAAATAGCAGTCGCAGGAGCGTCTTCTTTGACATTCTGATTGATTTTTTCAAATTAATTCTTTCATCTCATGATTGCGTCCTTTATAAATCGTTGCGTCGGCTCCGTGGCCCACCTTTTCTGATTTCAAAAAGGTGCTTTGGTGCGAGGGTGACAGCATGCTCTTGGCTGTGATGGTGTGGGTAAAGGATAGTTTGTGAATTCAGTGCTCAGAAACGACACGAGTAGCTACAAATGATAGTGATTAGTAGTCGAGTCGGTCACACAGGCGGGTTGGCCACCCTATATTTTTTAGATATATATTTGCAGAAATGTAATAGCTTATGTATAGATCATAGTAATGGATAGAATAGATTTTATTCTTTGTTCTGTCGTTATATATGAATTTCAAATACTTATGTCACATAATCACTGCTTTAAGCTCTCGTCATTCAACCCAATAGTGAGGCGGACACATTAGGTAGAAAGGGTCGATAACGACAGCGCCTCAGCAAATACAGATCCACTCCGGTAAAATCACGATCTCATTGAAGCAGTCCGAATGGTATACGTGACTTTATACAGGTACAAGGTATATAAGAACACTCATTCATGGGTTTAGCTAGCTCCACTTTCACGCTCAATACTACTCTCTTTAAATAACCCTACGTCTGAAAGCTCATCACAGAACAGCCGTCCGCACTTACCATGAATAGTTGCCCGGCATTGTTTGGCTCTACCTCTCTTCTATTGTCAAAGACTGGTTGCTCTTTAGATAGCAATCAACCTGATACCCCTTCGACCCAGAACAAGAACAGGAGAATGATCCCAGGGTTAACACTTAGTATGTGAGGGGGTTTCTTTCTTTTCCCAAGCTTCAATTATAACTATAATTATTTCCATTTTTATTTGTTCTCCTTTGTTTGTTATTTAGTTATACCGATTTAGGATGGGCCAGGGCCACATTAAAAGTCTGAGCGACCAGTGGTAATTTAAGTAATAGCATTAACAGACACCGTTTCGGTATTTTTTGCCTTGGTCCGAAACAATAAGCACTGTTTCCGTGGTATAGGTCCCGATGCTGAGCAATCTGAGGCGTGCCATTGGATGACGGTAAAGCAAAACGCCCTGATATGCCTGGCTTTTCCAGGAGTGGCACCAGTGGCCTTGGAGTCCGCTCTGTGATTGCAGGGACTTTCGGTAGACTAGACTCGTTAGGATGTATCATGCAGCCGTCCGTCCTGTGGACAGTAACGCCTGGCTTCAACAGGAAGAGAATGCGCCTTGCCCTGAAATATCCCCCAGTGGGACGGAATTCATCAGCAAGGTATGTCACGCATCGTTAATGGCTATATAGTGGATGATTGTCTAGCTCCGCCAGTAGTAACGTTATCGGAATGCGTTCACAAGCGGAAAGCCTGCCGAGTCCTACTTTCAGTAAAGCTCCGTTATTGCTTACAACTTTTAAGCCGTCACCCCTAAATCCCTCCGGTTGGTCCGGTGGTTGTTCCTCCAATCAGAGCTCTCACCCTCCTGCATCGGACAGACCGGTTGGGAGCCAAGGGATATAGAGATCGGCAATATTAGACCCGTAGTCCGGCCGGAGGACATCCGAACATATGCCGATGTGCTCGATCACATAGGCCTCGCTAGCCTAAGACCGGCAATAGGCCCAGAAATATCCCTTTCACCCCGATGGGAAAATCCCGCGGGTACGCGCCACCATAGCCGGGTTTAACCGGAAGATTTCTCCGCCCGGTAGGATTGGTGGCCTCATGTGTTGTGAAAGCCACAAGTAGGTAGCACGAAGTACTGCGAGATGCCCGTAAAATCATTGTCTGGCAGTCTACATATGCCATGAACCTTTCCATTATCATTGGCCTTAGTCAACCTCTGCTCTGCAGAAGTCCTCTCGGCTTGTGAGAGATAGGAGCTGAAGTGTTATTATACGTCAAGAGCCTAGCTCAGAATCTTTCGGATGGGCTGTGAAACTTGCATTGCCGATCATAGGCTATCAGTATCGACAACTAGTCAGGAACTAATCAAAGCAGGTTGTCCATTAGGAAGACAATAACAGTCAAAAAAGACCTTGTTACAGATCCGGCTAGTCGGATTGTCGGTGAGCCCAACAAGTGTGGCTGAACAACAGCGCAAAAATCAAATCCACGCAGGATTCTGAACTGCGCGGCAACAGCTGTGCAGTAAGGTAGCATAATGAAAATGATCTTATCAGCGTGTTAAGGCAACACGAGACATACATACTTTACGACTGCAAGGGTAATACGCTGAACCCGCGAATTCCTGTTCCAAGACGAGATCTGATGTTACCTGTTCTCTCCAGAAACTATAGATAACTTCCGGTATCCAAGTCTTACCCAGACAGTAAACTCGATGCCTACGGCCCCGTTGGAGCCTACAGCTCTCAAGCACTCTCAGGCAGTAAGGGGACACTAAGGAAGTAGGAGACGGTCGCCTGGCGGGGTTATCCGTTAGTCGTGGCTGTTTGATCGTACCAGGCAATTAGCGGCCAGTTAGCCTCTGGGCTAACGCCTGTACTATATTAGCAAGACCCGCACACCATAGTCTCCCTTCAATTCCCGGTATTTCCGTGGACTCTGATAACTGTACATATGGGAGTCTAGCCCTTGTATGTAGTCGTCCGCGTAGGCGGAAAAGCGGGTTGCTGTTCTATCCCCAGTGGTGATGATAGGTTGTCAACAGACTATGGCAGCCGAGCCACGACCGCGAGCTAAAGACTGGGAGCTGTAGAAAAGTGAAATCAAGAGCGTTTCCGAACGTCCGGTAATCAGGAAAATGCCCGGAATTTCCCAGATTTGAGAGGCATGTACTCATTCTGTCGTGAGTTACTTACCAGCCATGCCTTGGGCAAATCCTTGGAGAAAGCCGCCATCTTGTGGAAAACACTTTGTCAGCAGCTCGAAGAGTTGCGCCACCATTCGGCCTCACTTCTCGTGTCATACGTACGACTAGACTTTCAAGGGATAGTCCGGTTCTTCGACATCCTTCCACCGAAGCTGACTGGTACGTGTGCATGGTACGCTAATTAACAGGAAGCAGGGAAGCAATCCTGGCAGCACAGTCCAATGATTGACTGTAAAGGTGTTCTCTTAGGTAAAAACATACTTCTGTGCATCACCCCATGCAGCGGCCTATGTAGTCATTTCTCTGAATCTCAAGTGGGCGAGAGAAGACGCTCGACTTGCCAGGCTACTATAGTCTGTCTATTCTATCGCTGTCTCCCGGCTTCGCTCTTTACCCTCAGGCTAGGACTCTCTCCACAGGTTTTCAAGATCCCTTCATCAAAAATTGCCAGTCTGTCTGGAACGGAATCCTCTCGGTAAGGTTACTTGAACAATGGAATGAAAATGGTCCGCCAGCACGGTGGACGCTTTCTTGTCAACCGCCTTTTCATTCCATCATATTATTATTTTCTGAGGGTCCCGCAGTAGGAAGAATAAATCGGCCACTCTTCCACTTGGTAAATACTATATGGACCAGACAAGCGCTGACTGGCACCTCTCCAACCTCAATAGGATTCGTGTAGGCTTCTGTTAAAAACACTTAAGCTATCACGGATGTAAAGAGACGCTGATCTGTGCAACACCATAAACATATGGCTCTACCGGATGTGGCATCTTCCAGGAGATGTATTCGCGTCTTGGCGGGTGACTCCGTTCGGGATAACCCCTGCTTTACGAGGATCTGGCAATGCGCTTTATTAACGCCTTCTAGCTGAATTGTCAAGCTATTGAGACTATTGGGGACGTGGAGCCCCAATAATCCCAGTGAGACAATTCTGACCCATGGTGTAGCCCCAGAGTCGCATGCGGAGTAACTTTATAAGGGAGGTCGTAAAGACATGGCAGACATGCCCCAACAGCAAAGTTTGAGATATTTTTTCTTCTTTTACGTTGCCACACCCTGGGCCTAGAGCTAAACAGCAGGGTAATGAGTACCCTTACAATAGCGTCTTCGCGAGGTGCATTAAGTGCGGCGTTTTTCCACTGTGGCTACGTCGCGCACAGCTCGTCGACGGATCTGGGCAGGCTTACTGAAATATAACCCATCATTGTGTTGTATGCTTGTTCCTCCATTCCGAAAACCACTCGTGCGCTATAGTACACATTCACCCAAATGCGCTGAGGGTACGTGCGGGAGAGTGACAATACAAACGTTGAACAGGCTATACAACAAGGGCAAACCGATCGTAATGCTTACGGTACACGATTTCCCTAGTGCTTGTGCAGCGGACGCTTCTGGGTTAGACGTCATTTTGATCGGAGATAGTCTGAGAATGGTATTCACGGGATTGGAGAGCACAGAGGACCTAACAATGGAGAATATGGTTTTATACTGCCGGAGTGTGGCTAAAGCTTTACAGAAGAGTCATAGCTATTGAAGGAATCATGATCTAGATTTAGGAACTGGATGTTACAGACCCCTGCTACTAGCGAGGCGGACTCACTAGGCAGAAAGCGCCGATTAGAGGCAGCGCTCGAGCAAAACAAAATTGATGAAAGAGAAAAATACAGGGATCATACTATAAATGTACTGTGTGTATATGACCTTCTAAAACTGCAGTCCAGCTTGGAGCGGAATTGAGAGATGGTGCAGAAATTCCTGGATCAACTGGATCAGCTTGTCAATGGTTCAATCAGATCAGTCTAGTAATAAAAGAAAAGTAGAAAAATGCAACTTGAGATATACGGAGTAAGTAGCAGATAGTTATAATTGATATGGAGAATTTCGGAATGATTCGTCAGGCCGATCCTTCATCATTAGATTCCAGCTTGCCAACCGCTGCAGCCTGACGCAGACTAGCGAAGTTAATTATACAAAAAATAGAGATAAGACGCCTCGGAGATGTTATACTCCGAAGCTGAAATATGCATATACGAACTGTATGCTCCATACAAAGCGATCTTCCCTGCCGATCCGGCTACCCGTGACCTAACCGGAGCACATATGTAAAGGATCTTTGGGTATATAACACAAGACTGCGCACGACCCATCAGTGTTCTCTAAGACTTGTGTTAAGATACGCCCTATTGTACAATCTATTGTGTGCACTTGGTCTAATATTATCTTATATTATCTACCTAGTCCATCGCTCCATTACTTTCACCCAAATATACGCCCCCATTCCACAATCATGGAAAGACTCAGCAGTGCCGGGTGCCATAGCATCTTATCTGATGACGAGCTAGAAAACACTAGCTGGTTCCCATTCTGTGTAACTGCGACAAAACTGAGCAGCTATAGTGGGATCTTTCTCTCTCTTCTTTTCATCCTCTACGTCTTCTTGAATCGTTTCATTCTTAGACGTTTCCTTCTAGTCTATATCTACGGTGAATATTACTCTTCTCTGCAGCTTTCAGGGCAGCGGCTTTTCAGCCTTCGTCATCTTGGAGTGTTGGCGAGAACGATCTCCCTGGTTTGCATAATAAAGCCGGCATTCATGTTGGTTCTTTCTGATAGTCGGTGGACCGATTTGTACTTCAGGAGCTCCAGCATCACCCTTGGAGATATGGCGTTCCTGTCAGCCTCATTTACATCGGCCTTCCACATCTTCGAGCTCATTTTCGACGACCAGCTCAAGCTTCTTCTGTTTGCTCATCATCTAGGCGCGATAATCATGGTTCAAGCATTTCTACCAACCGCTGTGAATGTGCCCGTTACTCGTGTCCTTGAGCTGAATAGCACCATCGCCATGGCTAAAATCTGTATGTGCTGGGGTGAGTGCCATTTCCTATACTGGAACGCCAGTATTACGGTTCCTTCACTAACGCATCATTAGCAACCCTAGATGCTCCGCTAGTCATCGCATCATATGTTATTTGGATATTGCAACGTACCTGGATTCGAAGCGACACCGGCCTTTGCAAGCTATATTCTTCTGGCTTCTACTTGGCGGCTTTTTCAACGTTCTTTGAAGCGTCTGCAGTTATCTATTTTGGCGCTCGGCACTGGAGTCAGCTTTCTGCTCTGCAGGTGTTGACTATTTCCTGCCTCCAAGTATTATTCACTTCAGCGAAAGCGAAGGTCTGCAAACATTTGAGAACGGCATATACAAGCCTGTTGAAAAAGTCTTGTTGATCTTGACGAGCCATTAATAATTCTTTTGTGACTTCCCATCTCTCTCAAGACCGGCCATAGTCAGTGGTTTACAGTACTAAATCCCGTGCTCCGCTTCGAGGCCAACTTTTCACGAATAAATATGCGCCTTCCTACCCCGCACTTTGATCCAACCAGGATCGTACGGTGTTCACTGCGTCTGGCTCCATGTCATTAAGAACTCATAGCTTCAATATTGGCTCATACACTGGTCTCTGGCCTCAGCGATATGAATACCGCTATCACTATTTCCCATATAAATTAATATAGGTAGATTATTATTTTCCTGATGATCCTGGATTCCTGTGGAGATCTGCAGACTAAGACTTGGAATTATATTCTACCGTCTGCGTATGTTTTTTTGAAACTCCCGATAACACGTGAAAAACTTTGATGATACTCCTAAAATAATACTTTTTGATGAAATGTCCTCTAAAAATATAATAATACCCTATCAATTCAATTCAGATTAAAACAGAGAAGCGTCCATCTATGTTGATGTATATACATATATATGATGTTTCATTCTTCTCTTCGTTATGCTAAGTATGTTTGTTTAGCAGTACTGAATATATCTGGTTTTGACTGGCTATATTACAGTCAAGGATGAAGAAAATGAGCCTGGCTGATCCTAGAGTCAAGGAACAATTAGCCACTAGCCTAGCTGGAAGGCACCTGACTTGATGTCGTATTGCAGTTCGTGTTCCAGCCCTCAATATCACAAGCAATGTCGATCTATGAGAAATACCGCAGTCCCATAATATTTGTCATACATTACCTATTCTGTTGTGCCAGTAAACTGGCATAATGACATTATATCAAAATACAAGTATATATATATATATGTTGTCATCTCATTCTTTCTGAAGTGAGAGATATAAGCAACATAGTTAGACAATGAGAGAAAATAGTAAAAAATTGATATTACTGCATTTTATACCTCCAACAAGTGTTATGGTCTTTTCTACTTACCGCGGATGTGATCAGCTCAGTGAGCTTCATACCGATCGGGGATACTGATAGTCGGGGTATGTGCCCAGCCTAATAAACTATATTAGTCAATCTTGCAGATACAATAAACACTTCCGGTCTTGCGATAGCTATAGCTGATATATAATCATGTTCCACAAGCCTAGCTTGGTGGTGACTCCAGGTCAAAAGTGGTTCGTGCAAGTTAGACGAGACATTAGCGTGGGCTTAGTGACCTGCGTCCTGAGCTTGGTGTCCAGTCGTGCTGTGGGGTTTGTATCGCTGGTCTTGATAAAGTTGTCCTCTCAAATTGGTGTATTCACCGCTGTAGTCAGAATTGTCATTGGCGGGAGGAACTTCCGCTCCAATCAGGACAGCCCTAGATTAACTGATGAACTCAGCGTTCTAATGTCTACGACTAGTCATCTCTTAATTATTGTGACAATTGTATTATGACACAGATTTGCATCTTCCCCACCCTTACCCTCCCCTCTCCCCCCAACTTTCCGTGGGCCAATGAGATACTAATCACTCAACTTCATGTTGTCAGGATCTACATCATGTTGAGATCCAATGAGGCGCACCCGGTATTTGGAAGCGCAGAGAGATAGATCTGATTCCGAACGAAAGGTATTTGGGACATATGACGAGGCTCAAATAAATGATAGAGGCTTGGAAGTATATAACCCATGGTTCTGAAATCTTATATAAGGCTGCTCCTGTCCAACCTGCTTATCCTCCAAGTGCAATCTCTAGTTTCTTTTCTATTATACTTTGTGGACTCTACTATACTTCGTGAACCGCTCAAAATGCGGGTTCAAACAGTCATTGCCTCTGTCTTCCTCGGCGTCGGCATAGCCACAGCGGCAGAAACTTGTGATAACAGCTATTCTGAAAAGGACTGTAACTGGGAAGGCACTGCTCCGTTCTGTGGTGCAAGCGATCATCCTGTTGGCTATACAGATAATGGATGGACACTTGTGGCAACAACTAAGTACGAAGACCATCTGGCTCTCGAGCTCACAGGCAAGATTAGCCTGGAATGTTATGAAATCTATGGATCCGGCTGCGTGACTGGTTGGAAAAACTTGTGGTGCCCGCGTATGAGTTTCTGATATCCTCTAAACCTCATGTTCTATTAACTAATATCCTACAGCCAGCTAGGATGAAGGGCTTGGAGGTTATATATTGATTGGTAATTTGTGATTTGGGCGGCTTGCATTACTCTATTTCTTGGGTTGGATAGGAAACAGTGAATACCAAGTTGCTTTATTTAATAGGGTCTTCAACTTGACACCAAGCATATGCTGAGATTGCCTACATTTACAATCAATCACCGAAACATGATTTTAGCAACGTGATGCTATGAGTCTTATCCATCTTTACCTGCCTCGGAGGATTCTGATATAGCTGTAGAATTTCAGGTTTAACTACTTCCAATTTTGTGATCTTCGGCCTAATCTCGCCAGTGTCGGCATATACGTATCATTTTCTTCGGCTGCTTGAAAGAGTCTGGCTTACTACACCATCGTGTTAGTTAGGAAGTTTCTATTATTTGGGCTGTGTGGCGTTCGCCTGCAGCACCGCAGTTTGCTGGATTGCGTGCATCTCCGCACGGGTGCTGAAACCTAGAATCCCCACAGGAAGGCGCCAATGTGAGAAAGAAGAGCATCTCGGGCTTTGAAGATTCTAACAACCCAGTCCGCCATGGGGATCGTGGAAAAGCATAGATTTGCTTCTGCTACGAAGATCGCGGATATTCACCGGAGCCCGATAAATGTGGCTGCGCTGAGCATGATGATCTGCAGAAGCATTATCACCCAATTGGAGAAGGACTGTGTATAAACCAATTAAACTGGGTTGTCCTGGTGTTGATATCTATTGTTTTGAGGGATATAAAAAACAACATAACTGACTTCCCCATCTGATGTACGCCGAAGGATTGGCCCGGGTTCCGCTATTTCAATGTGAATCGTGCCATCTTGGTTACATCGCACCATTGGAGTAAAGCAACAAAATAAACCCCAATAGCGCAACGTGAGAATAAAATAAAACTTATCTTGGCAGGCGCAATTGCTACCAGCCAGCCTGAAGCTGCTGTATGATGGATCACTGCTTTGTAAAAGAAATTTATATTCATATGTAATATAGTACATGGTTCACAACATCTGGTATGATAGTAAGTCTATGTTCGCATTTACCTGCTGTTACAGCCCACTTAGGGGCCAGTTAAATATGGTTAAAGGCTGTGTAAAAATTGCAGAAGCCAATTAGCGTATCGGCTGGAACTGAAGCTGAGAACTGGGACAGCGATCATAGCCGATTGTGATATGTTAGGTGCGGAAATTCTTACTGCATTGTGGAACCTGAGGTTACTAGCGCTGTAATAAGGCTTGTCGGCTGAGCTCGACTCGGCTCGTCATCTAGTAATAGATCCCGCTCTGTACTAGAACCACGTCAGCTTGAAAAGCACATAATTACATACTATTTAAAACATAGGACCTTCCACTTTGAGGATGGATATGTCTAGTTCCTCGACAGGTGGACTAATGAGCAGGGCTTACTCAAACACCCTAGGCTTTCTAAAGAGTACACCCATGGCACCATTCAGAGTGTAACCCTCAATTACTATAGCAGCGGGCACAGATTGTGACTGCCCTCTAGCACCCAATCTCCGTTGATATGCCTAGACTACAGATTTGTGGAACAAGATTGTCTTCGGATCACCGAGTAGACTTGATTGAAGGCATTATACCCTGATCGGATGACTCACAAGCTCAGTTGGAACGAAACGGAGTACAACATTGTACAGCCATTTCCAATACGGTAGTTTATGTACTTGGATCGAAGCAGGAACTGCAGGCATATCACTAGATTTAGGTAGTTCGGCTAGGTCATATTCATTGTAAGAAGCGGGATGGTGGAACGGGAAGAGAAAATGGAATGATGCAATGTGATAAACACTTGACTGATGCATAGTAAAAGTTCAGCAGATCTGCATCTGATCATATGGGAGGTCCATATTGATCCTAATCTGACCAGATGCCTAAGAACACACCCTATATTTTCGAATAATGCTCTGCTCGGTCTAGGCGCTCCAAGCTCATATGCCACTGGATTGTCTTCAGCAGACCCTCTTCTAGAGAAATGACAGGCCCCCAGTCCAAAAGCCGGCGTGCCAAACCAATATCAGGTTGCCGCCTGCTGGGATCATCTTCCGGTCGCGGACGTTTGAGCGCTGGAGGCGATTGGCGTCCAGTTAGCCTATAAACTAGCGCCCGTACCATGTTAGCAAGGTGCTCTACCGTGGTTTCCCTATCATTCCCAATATTTATCGGACCTGTGTGGTTACTGTGCATAAGAGCATGCAGACCAGTCATGCAGTCATCCACGTATAGAAAGGAGCGGGTGGCGGCACCTTCACCCGGTAATGATGATAGGTTGCCCAGAAATCGTAGCAGTCACGAAGTTCGACACGACTCGGTCATCTCTCGCGTGCATGTAGGGCCCATATGCGTTGAAAATGCGTGAAATCCGGACATCAACGCTATATTCCTGGATATAGGAGTAGGCTAGAGCTTCGGCAGCGCGTTTACCTTCGTCATAGCATGAACGGGGGCCGAATGGATTGACATTTCCCCAGTAATATTCGGGCTGAGGGTGCACTTGTGGATCCCCATAGACTTCTGTGCGTTGCCAGCTGGTCAGCAAAGATTAAACCAGGGAAATGTGCATTATTACCCGAGGTACTCGATAACAAGATACGAGCGTTATGTTGTCGTGCCAGATCGAGCAAAGTCTTTGCTCCCATATAGGCTGTGTTAATGGTGTCAACCGGGTGCGTCTGGTACTTGACGGGGCTTGCAGGGCAGGCCAGATGATAGATCTGGTGGATAGCAGGCAAATCGGGAAGGAGAAACTGGATATTATGACTTCAGGTTATTAGTGGTGTTCATTACCAGGCTTGTAGATACATATGCAGGCATACCGAATCATTGAGAATCTCGGATGTTCCCGGATATCGTCCAAATTTGCTGCACTTCCTGAATGATAGTTGTCAAGCCCGATGACGTTGTATCCTTTATCCAAGAGGAAATGGACCATGTCAGAGCCCAAAAATCCTGCAGCCTAGATGACACATCAGCAGAGATATCGGTTGCAGAAGAATATTTCGAAGCATACACCTGCGACAAGGACGGTCTTTGGAAGAGGAGTATTCATGCTTACGAAAAGAAACAAAGGAACGAAATCAACAGGGACGAAAATCGATGACCAGATGTAAGACTAGGTCAAGAAAATAATACTTGAGAGAAGGATGCAGAGAAATTACGGCCTATTTATGCATTGGCGGGACTCCGTCGCAGCCTTACAGTTGCATTCGCCTGAAACAGTGTGTGGATAAAATGTGAGAATGCTAGGGTGACAAAAGGTAGGCACTCAACGCATCATTGCATACAATAGGAACACATCAGAGTGAAGCTACTGGGAGTTGATCCCACTCCGACGGGCTCCCCACCCGCACATACCGGCCACCCAGCTTGCGGATGAAATCACAGTCCAAGATATTTCGTCCATCGAAAATAAACTTTGGCTCTTGCATCACTTTCAGGATGTGTTCCCAGTTTAAAGGCTGGGCCTCATCGTTTCTCGAAAGCTCACACAGGAAGTTGTCCCAATCAGTTGCCACGACAACTGCGTTTGCGCCACTACATGCGCTGTAGGGGGAGTGAGAAATTGTGGTTCTTTCAAGCTCCCCTGGTGTCAAGTGCAGGTCGGTTATAATCTGTTTTGCAGGCACCATGGGGTCATATATAATCACCTGTGCCTGGCAGGCAAGGAGGCCCCTAATCAGAGAGATAGCTGGTGAATTTTTTGTGTCTGATGTGCCCTTCTTGAAGGCGAAGCCCAGAACTGTGATAGAACGACCCTTGATACTGCCGCCCATACAGGATACAAGGCGCTTCTGAAAATTCAACTTATGATGCTCATTCATCCAAACAACAGATTCCCAGTAACTGGCTATCTGGTCAAGGCCGAGCTTTCGTGTCGCATTAACAAGGCTGAGGATATCTTTTTGGAAGCATCCTCCACCCCATCCTAGGCTAGCCTTTAGCATGTGCGGTCCAATTCTTGGATCTAAGCCGCATATCTGCGATACAGACTCGATTCTTGCGCCGGTTGCCTCGCAAATGGTGCCAAGGGTATTGATATTGCTTACTCGCTGCGCAAGCATAGCATTGGCTGCCAGTTTTCCCAATTCGGCAGACAAGGAGTCCGTGAAGATTATTCTGCTGGGGGGCACCCAAGCCTGATAAACGCCGGCTAGCTTACGAGCTGCATCTTTGCCGGACACTGTCTGCTGAGACCCAATCACGACTCTATTAGGATAAAGAAGATCATGAATCGCCGTGCCTTCGGAAAGAAACTCAGGATTCGATAGGACTTCACATTTGACATCGGGCCGACAATGTTGTTCAAACTTGTTCCAGGTTATTATAAACGTGATAAATAATAAAACGTACAGGTCCGGGGTAGCCATACAAGCATTCTGATTACCTGAGAGGTCCCGCTTGGAACAGTGGACTTTGCCACTAGTATCTTATCATCTGTCGCTGTTCGAGCGATGGCCTCAATGGCCCGTTTTAGATTTCCTAGGTCTGGAGCGAAGCCACTGCCTGGGCCACTAGTTCTTGTAGGAGTATCAATGCAGAGAAAAATGAGCTGAGCCTTTTGGACTGCTGTTTGTATATCAGTGGAGAAGATGAGGCGTGATTTCACGCATTCGGTCGATTTCTCTGCATGTTCTCTAATGTCTGAGATGATTTCAGCGAGCTGCAATTCATGCAAGGGCAGGGATTCAGAATTCCATGCGTGAATTCGTGCTGGATCTTTGTCAACCACGGTAACCTGCACAGACGAACATTTGGACGCTATCACAGCACCCAGGGGTCCCCCTTAGACTATGTTAGTATTTACACTTCGCAGATGTGCCAACCCACTTACCCACAAACCCAGCTCCAATGCAAGCTATTCTGTTGATATCCAAGGGATACATCATGTCACCTCTTATGTAGATGCTGACTTGGCCAGTAGAGCCAAATATCTGGAAAAGGACAGACGATAGATTTATTTGGTCATGGTTAGTCACCAGTATGAAGGATTCTCGGTCATAACTCGGCCCTTTTATGCCTTGGGGCGTTTCCTCTCGAACTACATTCATTATTCTTGGTTGGCTAGGCTCGGTTAATTTACGCTCAGTCCTCAGCGGAATTCGCGGTGTCCTTGTTAGCGAGACCATTTCTGCTAATTATTTGGGGAAAGGATTGTTACGCCACTACACTAACGGCAAGGCTTTTTGGACAAGTTGCATTCACACAGTGCCTGTCACAGTCACGTCCCTTTTTTTATTGGTCACGTGACGATGCAAGGCGACGGGGTTCGTGCAACATTACCCCTCAATAGATCCACTACGGAGTAGAAAGATCGGAGATATATCCAGAAGTAGCAACACTCACGAGGGGTTTTCATACATTGAAAAAAAAAAACAAAACATATAAAAAAAGGGAAGGAAAGGAATGGAGAGGCTACAGACAACGGGCAGTGGTCATGAGACCATTTGTATACCTCCACTACGCTTTGCCAACTACGCATTAGTTTGGCGTACCATGCAGAAGCAGTTAGTCTACCAGCAGACCTGGAATCGTGCTTTGGTGATACTGACTGGGCCTTATATATTTCACTCTAGAAAGGAGGCCACAGGTCACCCGAGTTGCAATTTCTGGGTAGTGGTCCTGCAGGATAGCGCTCTCCAAAATCTGAGAAGTTACTTGTACTAATCGGATCATTGTATTCGGACGTATGTATAGCACATTGAGGGATGAAGCACGCAACAACAACAGGTTTATATCATTAATCAATATTGCCCAGCTTGAGCAAGGCCTCTAGTACTATGTGCAAGACAGAGAATGCTCCGAACAGTAATTGCAGCATAGGATTTTGGTGTCTCGTTAAAGACAGTAGCAGAACAGGGTAAGAATAATGTCCAGCATCTAATAGAACATAAGATTCCCATAATATGACCAGTACTTGATTCAATGGGCTGAAGATCCCATGTATGGGTCTGAGGGATATGATAATCCACCATCAACAACTGGGTCATGTATTAACCACCAGTGTTGTATCTCTGCCCCCATGCTAGTTGTAGCATATGAATGAGCGATACTCGGTCTTGTAAGCTGACAATGGGGTTCATTTTTATCCACTTTGAACTGGTCCAGGCTGACCGCATTTGCCCGGGTAGTGAGGATGAGGGTCGGTTATTATTAAGAGTACCATGTGTCAGAGCCCCTAACATAACATTTCACTGTGCCGCTCAGACTACTCACCCTTGACTCAGTCCTACCTAGTGATCAAATCAGATTGATCACTGAGCGCTCAGTCTGTGTAGCAGAGCACAGTCATGTGCCATGATCTTCTGTGACGCAGGACAGGGCTTTGTCCCGTAAATTTCCGGAGGAGTGCGTGCCCTTATCCTTCAATATGTGATATTGCTGCGCGGATGGTACTTTTTACCGCGATCCATGCATTTTCCTGGTTCCCCAGAAGAAGCAGATACTTATAGTCGCTGCACGAGCATTCCCGGCGAACATACTCCACCGAGCAGGAACTGAAACACCTATCAAAAACCCAAGCCCCAAGCCCCAGCAACAAATCAATGAGCCTGGAATTCAGGTGTGAATGGGTCGTGCATAGCAGGCATGATTCACTATACGAGAAGGCGGCAAATACTTTAGTATTTACATCTCTTACAGACACAGGCATTGGATGAGTACCTAAATAGCTGATGAGGGCCGAGGAAGAACAGGAGCAACTGGATAAAGGAATAGAACGCAAACCCGCCGGGTCTCATGGAGACATGCCTCTAATTCGCATCGCCAGTTATCCAGGACAACTCCAGTCGCCCCCGTACTCATGATCTTTTCCAAAAGCTGATAGCCGAGCGAGCAGGCACCAGTATCACGAGGTTACATCGAGATAATTGTTTTGGGCCATTGACCGAGAGGGGAAACAATCGGTCCGCTTTTAATTGAATGCTGCCGGTTTTTCACCAGTAGAAAGAGTCGCACGGAAGGTTTCATGAAAGAAATACTTGCCCTATGAATAAAAAATATTCGAAGGGAAAAAAGAAAAAGAAAAGAAAAAGAAAAGAAAAAGAAAAGAAAAAGAAAAGAAAAAGAAAAGAAAAAGAAAAGAAAAAGAAAAGAAAAAGAAAAGAAAAAGAAAAGAAAAAGGCCTAGAAAGCATAAGCCCCGCACAGTGTTATTGCGCAGTCACTGTTGACGGCAGCAATGCCATATTCCTGGTCTCTGAGCATGAGGAGCAGAGGCTTGTACCTAAAGGCCGATTCAACAAGAATAGGCGGCTTTTAGTCTTGGTCTCTAGAGTCACGGGTCGAGCAGAAGCCGAGCATATGTCTCCCAAAAAGCGTCATCGTTCTATATTGCTTGGGAGAATTTAAGAGCGTAATAAAAATTGGATTAGGCACATGTGACTCTACCTATGACGGTTGAATCTCTATGAACTGCATTACCTCGAGAGAGCGTCCCAAGCAGCTGGCACTACAAGCAGGCAACGGTACTGCCCGACCTGCTTGGGCATTCTAGGCCCAAGGTAATCGTTGTATGGGTGTCTTGCAGTAACTCGGGTAGTACTATATTTAATCAGAATTATTAAACCATCTCCCAACCAGCTTCAACGGCCGATATAAAATCAACAAAAACAGATAAGAAGATTTAGGTAAACTAATACTGAGCTACTGAAAGCTGGCTCTATATCATATCAAAAGCTTCAAGTCTAGAAGCAGTTTTTGTGGTGTGACCAATACCCGTATTTTCTTTGATAGAATGGAGTGATAGATGGTTATTACTAATTTTTGGTAACCTGGAAAAGCAGATAGCTGCCCTCTCAATATGGCAGACCACTTGGATGAGTGATATGATATGAATTACTCTAGCCCAGTGAGTGCAGGGTATGGGTTTTGAAGACGAGCTACGGCGGTTAATAGCGGCCATCGGGCAAATGCGTTGATGTCCCTTTACCGCTCTACATACCGCATCCGAATTAGGATCTCATGATACTCTGCATGATACTGTACAAATCCTTTTTCTAATGATTATTAAACCTGCCTCCTTTCATGATGCTTTTTCAAAGTATTAGTTATCCCAGTCTCCCTCTCCACCTCTTTGTATGAGGAGGAGATATGCAATCAGGGAGGATAATAAGAATTAGGCGGCTGAATATAGGTTATCAGGTCTTTAATTACATATTATTCTACTAGATAGCAGGATCGTGGGTTTGTACGGCAGGCTAGGGCAGGCAGAATTGGCTCCATGATAATGAGCTCTCTGTACGTACAAACAAAATAGGAAATAAATAGTTAAGACAGTGAATACAGTGCTAGTTCATATCTAAGAAGTAAATTCTATCTCTTCTTTCTGCCTTTTACTAATATATTTACTATTACTACTACTACTACTACTACTACTACTACTATTATTACTACTATTACTACTACTACTACTACTACTACTACTACTACTACTACTACTACTACTACTACTACTACTACTACTACCATCACCACCAACATGCCTTACGTGCTAGATGATTAAAAACAGATTACTGAGCTTGATTTTCTATCTATCTATCTTATCGCTGTTGTACAGGATAAAATTGACTAAAATATGTTTATATAGCAATAATAACAACACCGATAACCGCTATATTGGTATTTCTTCTTCTTTTTCCAGCCTGTCTGCCTGTCCCCGTCCCCCGACCTGTAATAATTCTAGTTGTTGTTATACGAGGGGCTCCCGGTTGGTGCCGATTCTACGATTCCTGTAAGAAATCTAGATTGACTATACCTGTTCATGTATACTGATGAAGGACTGCAAGTGCTTGCCCGGCCAGGGACATGATCTGTTGAGTTCTGATACGGCCGGATTCATACTTACCAGATTGCAATGTACCGAGTAAGCTATATTAATGCTCTGCTGATATAATCTCACGGAATTTATCCGGCCAGGCAGGAGGTGCCGGATGATTGGGATCTGTAGATGGAGGAAGCCTAGGTAAATATAACTGTTTCTCTAATTATAAATATACATCTGTACCTGCACCTGCACCTGTACCCCAGTTATACGGGATACCTGTATATAATACCCTGGGCAAGACTTGCACCTCTCTGTGGTGCTCAGGACTAGTAGCCATCTGTATGGCGAAGCCAAGTAAGTCATCCAATGGTGTACGTACAGCTTCATATAGATAGGTATGTTAGTTAAGCTATATGATCCAATCAGCTACATACTAATTCTGCCGGCAGTAAACACCAAAAAATTGCATTTGCCCGATGGCCGCTATTAACCGCCGTAGTACGGCGGTTAATCTTTTACCGTGATGCTTATCGACAAGTGGACCTGCTGCCAGGTATTAATTCCACGGACGGTGGTTGGTGTGCTCAACATAGGGATGGGTGGATCGCACGTAAGCTGATCTGCTCTACTAATCAACTACCCGCTTCTGTTCAGACTCGCTCCCGGATTCTGCAAATACATGTCCTTGCTGAGGGCTGCGGACAGTATTAGTCTCCCTAATTATTGTACAGCTAACTAAATGTGGATGTATCCCTTGTTCACGTCATACATGATGTAGTAGTGATGGTTCAAAAATTGTTGCAAATGGTCCGTGGGTTACTTCGGTGGGCTTATATATATACACAGTAGGCCGCTGGCATAAGTTGTTTTTTTTTGGAGAGGGGGGGGGTCTAGGTGATGCCTAATAGTGATGATAATGTATAGATATCACCCAGGATTGTTAAAGTTGTTGAAGTTGTTGAAAGTTGGACAAGGTTATTAATAGCAGAATGTACAGCGTAATTTAGTAAGTTACAAACAGTCCCATGCCAGATTCACAATAGCCTGTAAGACAGCTGGTCCCAGTGCCAGTTTCAGATATCAATAAATACTTAATTCTCTATTCTAAAGTTAGTTGGTTGTTGCTGTGAGTAAACTTACTCTGCTCATCTGTCTTGTATATTTCACATGCATTATTAAGTAAGATTACAGATTTCTTCCTTCCTGTAGGTAGAGCCTCGGGTTGAGACACGTGTGATAATTCAGAAGACTGAGACTTTGAGAAGTTGGATATAATAGTATATTTGTATATTCCAATTGTATCTACAAGCAATTCCTGCATGTATGACCGTGATCATGAGTATGATGTAATACATTTTTTCAATTAGTAATTTCTCCAAGTGTATATTTCAGCAGTGTCTCGAGACTATGTTTGCAGACTTCTTCTTATCCGAAATTGTATAATATGCCTAAAATATCAGCATATGTTCCTTTCACTCTCGTCCACAAGGATACTTGATGATTTTTGAACAATGGATGTGCAATTTCATCTTGCTGTCCTTGCTCTTTACATGTACAAAATGTTTAGCTGGATGTGGCCCTTTTCAAGATATAAAACTCAACACAATTTCTTTGAAAATACTGAGTCTCGCGGATGATTGAAGATAAACCTAATCTTGTCACTATCTCCTCAAATTCCCTGCGCCAGCACCATGTACGATATACGCAAGAGATATGTTCGCTTTTATCATAAGCAGATCACTTGCGGTAGTATTAAGTCCTATCTGGGTACTGTCTTGCACGGATGGATTCTTTGCGCCGTCCACATCTGGTCTGGAATCGATAATATCTTGCTTAGATTTTTCTCAGTCTAGAATTGATATATCTTGTTCTTTCCTCGGTCAACCTCATGCCAGGGCCGTGTGCGCAGACATCTGAATGTTGTGTTGCAGTTCGAACATGTGAAGTTTTCGCCAGATGGAACGTGCACTTCGGTAGGTAAACCGGTCACATTACTCCTGCAGATTATTGCAAGCCATGAGTCCAGGGACCGATGTGCACAAGCTAGATAGGCTGTCAAGGGTTCTGTCCCTAAATATTTCTGTCTGATTGATAGGTGATACTCCGTTTTAATGAATAGTTGGCCCCCCGGTCTCAAGCCTGGGAAACACTGTGATGGAAAGTTGCGTGCTCCCATAGTGATGGATGCAGGAATGCCAGCAGAAGCGATCCAGAACACCACTGGTGAAATGAGCGGACAATGCTCCAAGCGACCTTTGACGTGTCCTCAATATCTTGAAGAGGGCAATTGTACCAGATAATGTCAGTTTCTTGCAGGGACATATGTCAATATTTCCTGCAAGAGCAAGAGGACCCAGGTAACAGCTTAAGGTCCTCATCAGAACGAAGCCAAGATCAATGAGGTAGTCAAGGTGGGAGATAAATACATTCAGGAGCGCGATGGAACTCTCAGCAGAATGGATCTGTATGCGGTACAGTTCGCTCGTGAATGCCGCAAGAATGCCCGGAAGGCTGAGCCCCCCAAACCGAGGAAAGTAGAAGAAAACAACGAATTTCCAATACTTAGGGATTGAATGGCTATCATTGCAAGTATCTCCTACCATCTATACATGTAATCAAAGCCCTTGGAGTAACCAATGCCTTTGCCTGTATCTTTAGCGCCTGACCTATTGGTACTATTCTCATTTCACACAAAGGTGGAGCGCCAGCCAGAACAAAAACTTATCAAATTTTCATGACCTTCGCCACACGGGAGCAAGTTTCAGTTGAATACAGTTAAGGGCCGAGCCATATATAATTATGTGCTGATATTGACGTGCACAGTACTAAGCTTTTCCAAATTTGGGTCTTCAGGACATTGGTGAGATCCGACAATGCTTTTTGGTAGTGAACGAGGTCGGCGGATGCAGCACTAGGCACCTGAAGCAAGCCCCCCAACGGCCATTCTCCAGAAAAAGTAAGACTTTTCATCGAAGGGCAATGGAATCAAGACTGTCATAGTGTTGGCAGATAGGTGCACGCTTATCATGGCATTGCAATGAATACGGGCTTAGAATTTGTATGGTTTCTTTTGTACTTGGGACCTGCTGGGAAATGCAAATGAGACACCATGAAGGGAACTACCATATTAGAGAGACCGTCAACTATAGTGGATCTCGTAAAAGCAAATCCTTGATGGTTATGTATGCTGACTTTTCCTCCCCGAAGGGTTTTATTCTGTATTTACCCGCAATGCATGTGTACATTACCAAAAACCTCGACAATACCCATAAAGCCGGAAAGGCACATGGCACAAGGCCGCAGATGAAGATTGGCCCACTCTTATCTTCCAATCCCACCTTCTTCTCCCTCCCCTGTTCGGTCAGTATACCCTTTCTGTGCCCGGAGGAAGTCACCAATTAGATCACTGGCCAGCAGACCTAGTGGCTGTTTGCTGCCTGCTGATGCCACTTGATTGACTTTTGTTTTC